GGAGAGGAAGGGAAGGGGGAGAGGAGAGGAAGGGAAGGGGGAGAGGAGAGGAAGGGAAGGAAGGGGGAAGGGAGGAGGAGAGGAAGGGAAGGAAGGGAGGGAGGAGGAGAGGAAGGGAAGGAAGGGAGGAGGAGAGGAAGGGAAGGAAGGGAGGAGGAGAGGAGGGGAAGGAAGGGAGGAGGAGAGGAGGGGAAGGAAGGGAGGAGGAGAGGAAGGGAAGGGAAGTGGGAGAGGAGAGGAAGGGGGGAGGAGAGGAGAGGAAGGGAATAGAGAAAGAAAAAGGGCAAAAGAGGAAGGGAAGGGAGGAATAGAAGTAAAGGAGGACATCCAGCATCATATAGCACTTTCCTTCCCAGTCTGACTGTCTATTCACCATGAAATGATGGAGATGATTGAACACAATAGGGAGGATGATCAGAAACCAGGCGGACACTCTGATTGGATGAACACTGTGGATGGAATGTGTGTCAAGAGGACACCAAGCACATGCCAGGACAGCCAACAACGCTGCAGAATATGTCAGAGCCATATGAATGCTTGTGGGGGGGAGAGTGGAGGGGACATTAGAGTATATGCTCCTTTGGTGCAGAGACTGACTCAGTGCTCACAGTACATCACTGCCGTATATGTCAGCGCCACACAGAGGAGATAGGAGGGGTCAGGTGGGTGGACAGGTGTGATGAGATGCTGCAGAAGCTCTTTCCCTCCCCTCTCACCTGTCCCGGCGGTCAGTGCCGGGTGTCGGAGGGTGTTCCGGGCCCCGGAGCCGGCCGCTCTCCACGGGTCACCATGCTGGATGAGGAGCTCCCCCGGAGCCGGCCTGTCAGTTAGGGGAGTCCGGCCTGAGCGACCACCACATGGATTGACCAATCAGGACCCGCGATACAGAGAGGCCGCCAATCACGGCGCAGCACAGAATACCAATCGCTGCGCAGGAGAGACCACCAATGACAGGGGGCGGGGCTCTCTGCTCGCCAATCAGCAGGCAGAGGGGGAGGGGGCGGGGCTTGAGTCCCCTAATTCGTCTTCCCTCCTTCCACCGGTCCCAGAACGGAGAAGGGACGGAGGGCGCGGAGTATTATGGAGGAGGGAGGCAAGAGGCACGGAGTATTATGGAGAAGGGTGGCATGAGACATTGAGGAGGAAGGCATGAGGCACGGAGTATTGTGGAGAAGGGTGGCATGAGGAACGGAGTATTGTGGAGAAGGGTGGCATGAGGCACGGAGTATTGTGGAGAAGGGTGGCATGAGGCACGGAGTATTATGGAGAAGGGTGGCATGAGGCACGGAGGAGGAAGGCATGAGGCACGGAGTATTGTGGAGAAGGGGGGCTTGCAGTCAGAAAAAGTACTGCTTGTCCTATTTTACCTGAATGCATTAGTTGAAATGCATCAAAATGCAGTGCAAACGCAACGGAACGCATACAAAAAAAAACAATTGATTGTGGCATCATGCAGGGGGAAAAACGCATCAAAACGGATCGCAATGCAACTGCGCAGATACACGCATTTGTGATGCAGTTTCTGGTGTGAACTAACCCTTAGCGAGAGCTCTGCGAGTGTCCAGCACTTTTGCGAAGCGCGTCGATCTGGAGACTTGCAATGCGGACTTGCTGTAATCGTGCAACAAAATTGTGACGCTCGGCAAGTCTAGCAATAGTTTAGCAAGTCATTTTATAACTTGCAGCACAATTGCTCGCTTATCTGGGTCCTGGCTGAGAAATACGATTGTCTGCAGGGGCTGTAACATTAGCGTCCATGGGTGCCTCACTGTCTATTGTTTAAGCCCTGATGAAGACCCCTGAAACGCGTTGGCTGTGTCTATCTTCTTGTCACCATTTGTGAAGCCGATAATGTTTTTTTCCGGACTCTTGAGACTAGGGATGCACCGATATATCGGCAGCCGAAAATTGCACTTTTGGCATAATGCCGAAAGTGCCATTTTTCTGCCGATACATGGGCGCATCCCTGCTTTCTTTCCTCCCCGCTGGGCGCTGCTCTGTGTCCCAGCAGGAAGGAGAGAAACAGTGACAGCCGGCCGAGCGATGTGAGCGGCCGGCGTCTCTCCTCCCACACCGCTCAGCCTCCTATCACTGTCCTGCAGAGCGGTGTGTGGGTGGAGACAGGCCGCGCTGTCACAGGAGGCGGAGCTCTCTTCCCTGCAACGCCCAGCCTCTTGTGACAGCTGTCAGGAAGGAGAGCGGGTACAAGCATAAATTTTGTAAAACTTAAAATAAAAAACATTTTACCCGGCGGGATGAGGTATGCTGCCGGGTCCCCTCCTCTCTCCTGACACTGTCAGGCTCTCGGTCCGACTTTTCAGAGGGGGGATGACAACAAAATGACTAAGTAATTTTGGTGTCACCCCTCCAATTGTGTCACCCGGGTGCGGGCTGCACCCCCCTTGTGACACCACTGACACTCACCACACCGCGGGTCTGTGCATACATTGCATGATATCTTCCTTAAAACCTTTTTTCACCTCTGGACAGAGAAGAGTTAAAATCCTTTGTCAGTTTTCTATGTTTGTGGAGGATTTCCCTCTCTTCGGGCTCTGGGCACATAAATAAGATTTCAGGCGGCAGAAAAATCCTGCCGGCGGTCCCAGTCCTTCCTCGCAGCTTTCGGTTACATTCTATCACCTGATATGTGGGATGATGTTACCGATAAAATCTGCAACAAACCGCGGCCGAACCAGACAGAACCTTGTGCTAAGTATAACGCGGACGACCTTGACTACAGGCTCCTCCGCATGAAATCCCTGAACTTCTGTTTGTCTTTTTCTTCCTGGAAACGTCCCATCAAGGTTTTTCCACGCACACGCCAAAGTCTATTTACAAAGAAAAAGAGATTTGTTTTGTCTATGATTTGAGAAAGTTTTATTTAAAGGAGAACTATGGGGTCAGGGCTTTCCCCATAGTTCTCCTCAGGGTAACGGGAGAACACAAACTAGCGTCCTCCCGTCACCCTAAGCTCAGTATATGGCAAGCTGTAGCTCGCGGTATACTGAGACGCTGAAGCGGATCCCGACAATTGTGCCGGGATCCGCCCAGCTGCGTGACTGACAGCTGGCTCTGCCTATCTAGAGGCAGAGCCAGCCGTACCCTCCCCCGTCCGTTCCGCCAGTCAGTGCTGGCGGAGGGGGGAATCCAGTCCCTCCCCTGTCACGGCAGAGAGCCGTGACAGGATCGAGAGGTGAGCGAACGCCGGTATGTGTTCTCTCACTTCCCGATCTACTGAGCCGACCTGTGACAGTCTCATTGTCACAGGTCGGCTAGAACTATGAGGTGAGTGAAAATCACCCGCCTCATAGTTCTCCTTTAATGGACGACGGAAGTAATCCCGGCATCAGTGTGGACCTGAAACCAGTAGACATGTGTTAGATTAGGAAGAGGAATCACCAGCACTCGGTAGAATAATCCAACATGTCCATTTATTGGACATAGACGTCACACAATCACAAGAGCCAACGTTTCGAGACCACGCAGGGTCTCTTCATCAGGTCACTCTTTATGCCTTGATGAAGAGACCCTGCGTGGTCTCGTAACGTTGGCTCTTGTGATTATTCTACTGAGTGCTGGTGATTCCTCTTGTCGCTCGTGTTGCGGTCGGCTCACTTTTTTTGTGGGGCAGGAGGGGGCGTGGCAAGCCATTGAAGTGAATGGCACCGTAGCCTCCAGCCGCACGGGATCGCAAAGGAACATTATGCCTTGATCCTGTCCGGCCGCAATGCGATCCCGTGCTGGGCCGGAGGGCGTGGCTACGGTGCCATTCACTTCAATAGGCCGCCACGCCCCTTCCTGCCCGACAAAAAAGTGAGCCGGCCACAATGCGAGGCAGTGCGTTCTGGACAGAATCGGGCCGGAACGCACTGCATCTAGTGTGAACGAGACCTAAGGGGAAACTTCCCCAGCAAAGTGAACCGCCTGTCCGCCTTCAGTAAATCAACCCCAATAAGTCCACTAGGACCAGTCGCCGAAGGATTTCTGAACCTTCGGTAGCCTGTACAATAGCGTCAGTGGTGTATTTTGGTTTCGTGCTGCCCTAGGCAAGACTAAACCCGAGCGCCCTCCCATCCCTAATCTAAATTAGCCCCACCCCTTCCTGTTTATTACATTTTGAATAACCTGTCAGTCGCGGGATACATTGCGCACGGTTCTGACAGGTTGCGCTATCAACCTAGTGGGACGCTCTAGTTCTACCTTTGCAATAGCCGCCTTCTCCATTCCTGGCTTGATGGGCTCCCTAGTTCTGCAGCTACAATAACCATTCGCTCCTGCCCGGCCATGCTGTGCTAGTCTCTAGTTCTGCAGCTGCAACACTGATCATCTGCCTTAATATGCTGGGCCCTCTAATTCCGGCATCACCCATCTTCTGCCTCGGCCGCCGGGCTCTGTAGCTTGCCCCGCTCTAGAGATATAACCCTGCGCGGAGCTTATAGGCCGCACTTCCCCGGACCCACCACCACGGGGGTGCCGATGAGCATGATGACCATCTGGATCTCAGCCCCGGTGTCCTGCGGAAGCTCCTCCGCTGCTGAAGTAAGAGATTTGGGTGCTGGTTTCCTAGGGAGGTCCGGCGCACGAACTGCCAATGCAACCGGACGAAAGTCAAAACACACCAATACGTTGTCCAGCACGGTGACCAGGAAGAGGAAGGAGCTGCAGCCGCCATATATGTAGGAGTAGGCAGCATTAGTGGACAAGTTGGTCTCCCAGTCAAAGAAGCACAAGGTCCAGGAGTACTGGCAGTAATTTATGAATATTGTATCATATAATTTTTCTTACCTAACTGGTTTGGGGGACAGCATTTTTTGGCGCCCCCTTGGAGTGTGCCGCCCTAGGCAAATGCCTAGTTTGCCCTGCAGTAGATACACCCCTGAATAGCGTGCCGTAGCCGTATGGTTCATTGCCAGTATTTGCACTCATCGTCGTACTATAAACTCATTCATTATTAACAGGAAAACATCTTCATATCTACCGCTAACCTGACGGGTGAGCCCGCCATGCACAACTTCAGTTATGTCTGATCCCTACTGGATCGGCAGAAATTTGAGCGATGGGTGGCTCTATCGGCACCACCTAGTTCCACAAAAGTCAACTGAAAAATCAAAGGAGCCGGGTGGAACGTTGATTTAAAGGAGAACTATGAGGGGGTTGCTTTTCACTCACCTCATAGTTCGAGCCGACGCGTGACAATGAGACTGTCACAGGTCGGCTCAGTAGATCGGGAAGTGAGCGATCACATACCGGCGTTCGCTCACCTCTCGATCCTGTCCCTGCGGAGAGCCTTGACTGTCACTCACGGCTCCCTGCAGGGATTCCCCCCCGCTCCGATCCTCCAGCTCTGACTGGCGGAATGGGGAGGGGGCGGGTACAGCTGGCTCTGCCTTTAGATAGGCAGAGCCAGCTGTCACTCATGCAGCTGGGTGGATCTAAACAGTAGTGTAGGGATCCGTCCCGGCTGCGGCGTCTCAGTATATAGGGAGCTGTAGCTCCCTATATACTAAGCTTTGGGTCACGGGAGGACACTAGTTTGTGTCCTCCCGTGACCCTTAGGAGAACTATGGGGAAAAACACTGACCTCATAGTTCTCCTTTAATACAAACAATTTTGCAGACATGTGACAATCGATCGCCTGCCTTAGGTTGCTGACCCCCAGTCTCCAATGACTCACTTTTAATCTCTGTCATATTCCTTATACATATTCAATGTCAGCTGAATGCCCTTTAAATCTTCAACATCGGCCTTCACAAAGATTTCTATACTAACACTGGGCTAGGAAATGTGGCCGGTGGCGTCACAAGGGGGGTGCGGCCCACACCGGGTGACACCATTGGAGGGGTGACACCGAAATGACTGACAGCCATTTTGTTGTCCTGCCCTCTGAAAAGTCAGTGTCAGGAGAGAGGAGGGGACTCGGCAGCGTATCTTATCCCGCCGGGTGAATGTCCCATCCTCTCTGTGCCG